TCGTGCGATGAAAGTGCTTTCGAGTACTCGCCCATGTTATCATACACATTACCGATGTTGTTGTAGGAAGAAGCCAAGTCGGGATGATTCGGAGGGAGAGCTATTTTACGGATTTCAAGTGATCGTTGGTACGATGAAAGTGCTTTCGAGTACTCGCCCATGTTTCTATGCAGTTCGCCGATGTTGTTGTAGGATTGAGCCAAGTCAGGATGATTTTGAGGGAGAGCTATTTTACGGATTTCAAGTGATCGTTCATACGATGAAAGCGCTTTTGAATTCTCGCCCATGTTATGATACACCAAGCCGATGTTGTTGTAGCAACTAGCCAATTCAGGGTGATTTGGGGGTAGCGTTTTTTCTAGAATATTTAGTGCTTTTTCATGGGATGAAAGTGCTTTTGGATACTCTCCCATATTAGAATACACTAAACCAATGTTGTCGTATGAATAAGCTAAGTCGGGATGATTCGGAGGGAGAGCCATTTTCCGAATTTCAAGTGATTGTTCATACGATGAAAGTGCTTTCGCGTACTCGCCCATGTTATTATACACCGCACCGATGTTGTTGTAGGAAGCAGCCAAGTCGGGATGATTCGGAGGGAGAGCCATTTTCCGGATTTCAAGTGATCGTTCGTGCGATGAAAGCGCTTTCGAGTGCTCGCCCATGTTTTTATACACTATGCCGATGTTGTTGTAGGACCAAGCCAAACCGAGATCATTGTGAGGGAGAATTTTCTTGTAGATATCCAGTGATTTTTCATAATATAAAAGTGCTTTCGAGTACTCTCCCATGTTATCATACACCCAGCCAAATTGATGATTGTACTCCGCTCGCTCTTCATCAGAAGACACCTTTGCAAGGAGGATTTGATAGAGTTGTTCTGCTTTTGCAGGCTCACCCAATTTAATAAGTATGTACCCAAGTCGAGACCATCCTGTACGCACACGAAGGTCGTTACGTATATGTGCCATAAGTGTGTTCAATTCATGATTGTCATTACCGACAATAGTGAGATTAACTTCGTACAGCCGATCACAGTGATTATCGTGAATTCGTTCAATGCGATTGATACGAAAAATCGCATGTGTTGAAAATAGTATTTCTTCCTCTTTATCTTTGTAGTAGCCAACTTTGCTTACTTCAGCAAATGGTGTTGAGAATTTTGTGCAAATAGCCGTGTCAATGTTCATAACGAAGAGGATGCCAACTGAATTGGGATTGTTTGTAGCTGGTCGTGCAAAGTTGTTGAAAGATATCTGACAATTACGACTTGTTGACAGGAAATTATTAAAGGACATAAGTCCTCCTTTGGTTTTTTTCATTTTTTCAAAATCTTCCATGGACAAACCTTGTCCACGGAAGACTTGAAAATTTGTTGGCATGTTTCCTTGTTGTTCACGATGTAATTCTTTAATATGTTGATGTAAATGACGGATGAAAAAGCCCATTTTAAGGATGATGTCAACATCCATTTGTCGGAGTCCACGATTGAGCATGGGATAAATAAATGTTTCAGCTGTATACCACCATATTGGTGTATAGTCACGATATTCATTTTCGACCTTACTAATTTGACCTTCATCAATATCATCTTGTAGACGACAGTACTCTACGAGATCTTTAATCGATTTGACATCGTCATCTTCAATTTCCAAAAGTGCTTCTTTTAAAAGTTGCGTATACATAAATAATGGATCGAGACCATTAAAGTTGATCGAGATCATAGCTCGATCACAATTTTCACGGTCGATTTGCAATGCCTTACATATGGGCTTGATTTTTGTGTATACGCCTTTAATCTTTGGTACTTTATTGGCCCATTGTTCATGGGCCGCTTGGTTGCGACAGAATACATAGACTGACTCCAGTTGTGGCCATGTTTCAATATCTGCTATTATTTGCCGTCCCAGTGAATCAGATATGATCATAAATACCTTTTCATTTTTAATGGTACTGAGAAAATCAATGCATTCTTGAGCATCTGTAAATGTTTCGATGCTTGCTACAACACGTCTCAGGCGTCGAAACGATTTCTTGAAATCGTCATTGGATTCATCCAATTTGGCATCAAGCCATAGAAGTCGGAAATTTTGAAGAACCCGACGCATAGATCGAGACAACACAACAGCAGCACGATTGTTCGCGTTGGTAATAGTGGTGGTGCTAGGCATCGCTGCTGCACCACTGATAACAGTTGTTGTCGATTTTTGTTTGCTCATTGTAATTGAACGAATGAATATAATCAGTGAAATGTAGTCCCCTATATTTATAATTGTTAAATTTTTTGTTGGTTAACATCATTCATTTTCTGACTTGTGGCTACAGACTTCAAGAACCTCTACTATCTGGTTCATTTTTGTTTCAAGAGTGTTACTGACAAAATGACGATAATGGATGGATCAAGTCTCTATACATCGAACGATAAATAAAGAAGAATGGCTAAGGAAACAAATAGTCGCTGAGGACGGACAACATGACTAGTCCGAAATGTCGAAAATACCTGTCCTAACTAGTTATCCTGACATGAAAACTCCTGCAGCTACGTCTGAACCAGTCCGGAATGTCCTTGAGCTTTGGCATGTCTAGTTCGTTTGTCTATCTAACCTGTCCACATTAGTTCATAGAACGGCAAAAGAGCATTTCTAAAAGTAAAAATTGTGCCTTTCATTGCTGGTACTCGTGTTGAAATGTATGCACACAAACAGTTACTCTGTTTAATATGTTTTACAATAAAATTGTTTTATACATACAAGATTCTGCAACCAAGACAATCGGTTGCATGTTCTGAGTATTATCAAGCGAAGTTCTCGTAAAACTACTTTATAAACATAAAAATAACACATGTTTATGTACCGTCATTTTTTTGTGTGTAGCTACTCTTTACTTTTAACTTTAATTTTCTTACTAGTCTAATAATGTTAGAAACTAAATATACTTACGTGCTATGTAATATTGGAGTGTAGCAAATTTTGTTTTGTGTGCTTGCAATCGATTTTATTCTGTATTTATTATTGGCAAAATTACTTGGTTTTTTCCCACAAACGTATATTTACATGAATCAATGAAGTATAACTTTTCATCATGTAAACGACTTTTTCGACCATGTGTTTGTCATAAAATACGTTTCGTTTTTCATATATTCTACTTCTTCTTTTTTTTACCTTACCTTTGCGTTTTGTGTTGTTACAATGATAAAATATACACTGATATTTGCATATGGGTAAATTTGAGTTATGATGATTCATTAGGCTTTGAACTTTATTCTAATATATATAAATATTTTCTATCGTAAATTTTTTTTTGAAATTGATAATTATAGAAGTAGTGTTGAAAGCTTTAAAATAAATAAATGAAAAATTTTATATTTTTTATTTTATCGTTCGATGTATGAAAAACTCTATTTATCACTCAAACTTCGTTAGATGCATCCGAAGAAAGTATGGCGAATGTGCTTTAAGAAGACTCAGGCATTTTGAGAGGTGGGTATGAGTGTTTGTATTGCTTATCCCTACACACCCCGACCCTCAATTACTTGGTTTAAATATCTAAGAATTTCAATCATAATCAAGCAATAATCAACAATCAATAAATAGAAGTAAAAATATTGATACAAATCAACAACATCTTTCAATCAGTATTCAACAAATAATGAATGATTTTAATTTCAATGTAAATCTTTTTTTAGTGTGTTGATATGGTATGTTATATTTGTTTACAACATAATGATCATAATGTTGTATCAAGTTCATTGGAAACACATGAAATTATACTTAAATATTCAAATTTATTTGATTTTGATTAATTATTAATTTCAATTCAAATTGGATCTATAGAAGAAAATCGTGTTAGTGAAGCCTTAAAAACATGTAAATATTGAGGAAAAAAAAACAAGAATTGTTTTTTCATTTTTTTTTTCTAAAACAATAGCTTATTCAACATATCAACGTTGATTTATTGAAATGAATGATGAATTCGATTCAACATCAATGATTAATAATGAAAAAGGAATATCAGCTGCTAAACTTGTTAATCAATTATATTTTTTTCCAATTAGATATATGCTTAATATGGATGGTACGATAAAAAGTATTGATGAATCATGTATTAGTGTTAAATGTGCTATACCAACATGTCTATCGTGTTTATCAACAATTTGGTCGATTTGATTACCTTATTGAAAGTATGTTTGAGACTTCTTTTTGTAAAGTTTCACTTCAGTAAAATAGATCTATTTAATAATCCAAAATTATTTCTAATATCGTAACAGTAGAAGGGCTTAGATGAAGGAGATTGTGGCAGAGTTTAGTTGATGTCGCTTCAATTGGTTAAGGTCTCAAAGTTTTAGTGAAAGTTATCTGATAGATATGACAATTTTACTATTAAATTTTCGAACCAAAACGATATGAAACATATATACTGGAATTTGAAAATTCAAGAATGAAGATTTCTCGATATTGATTCAGCAGCTCTAGTCCTATTCCTACTTTTAATTTTTTTGAAACCAACAAAATACTAGAACATTATCAGACTCGAAACGATATCAAGTAGAACATTTTATTGAAGCTCAAAGCCTGCATCAATACATCAGAGATTGAAATTATACAATCACATAACTACCTCAAAAAAAGTTCTAAGTCGAAGTTCGAGATATGAAACCAATTGTATCCTCTAAGGAATTTTTCATTAGTCTTTGAAGATTTCTGATTAAATATAGTTTTATAATTGATATGAAATTTCCTAATGAGAAAAAATGAAATTCCCATCTCTATATGACCTGTAGTACATTAAAATCTATCGAACATCAAGGTATCTTTTTTTTATTTTCTTTAAGATATTACATATCTTTTACCTTTATGTAAACATGGTGATCTACATTTACGTGGTGCACCTGCAAATTTACTTGTTACATTAATTCAAACAACAATTCATCTATTAACATTATCATCATTATCAAATTCATGTATTAATTCTTTTATTAATCAATGTTCACTTATATCAACTGATTCACAAGACAGTTCAAGGTTATATGTCTTAATGATAATAATGCACGTGTTATACATGTTTCATTAAATGCTTTACGAACATTATTACCTTTTTTATTAATTAATAGTCATGCATTTACAATCATAGGAATTGAATTATTAGAAGATTCTATTCAACATAGTACAAGTTCCTGTGTTCTTGCTAAAGTAGATAAAAGAAATTTATGATTATAATAATTTTTTTTGTATGTATATAAAATAGGTTACTCTAGCTCAATTTATAGATGATATTGATTTTCGAATATTAACTTATCTTGAATAACAGCAACAATTAAAACAACAGTACTCTGATATACGTGTCTGTCAAGCAACTGCTTCGACTTTTGCTAAGTATGTATTTTGTAGAGATGTTAACTAGGTAGTTTTTTTTCGAATTTGAATGAATAAGTCGATTTTATTGCATTAAGTTAATTATTAGCTGCTTTTTGATTTTAAGATATTGTTGATCACATTCATTTTTACCATGTCAATGGATATATAAAATTCATCATTCATTACAAGCTCAAGCATCAATTCGAATACAAATTGTTTGTCATTTTTGTCTTTTATATAGGTTGGATGTTTAGAAGATATTTATGTTCTTTCAAATGTTTTAAGATCAACAACAATTCGATCATTTTTTCATAATCAATATGATAAACTTCGTTTATTTATAAACTTTTTTAAACATCCCTTTATATTACATTATCTTAATAATTTAATCTTTTCAAGTAAAGAGAAAAAAAAATATTATGTTTTTTTGAATTCTTTCTGTTTATTTGAAGATTTATCAAATCTCAACAAATGAAAAAATGTTTTGAAAGTAGCACAAATAATTCAAGTAATTGGAAAATTGAACTATTTTATTACCGCTCTCGAACTATTGCAAAAATATTCACAATCATCATTCTTTTGGACAGAATGTAGTGGATATTTCAGTTTTCACACAAGAAAGGAGTTCCAATGTTTTAGATTTGAAGTATATATTTGATCGTGTCTCGTCTAAAGGAATTCATTTGTTTTTTCTTTTTTAAGAGAATGATAAAGGCTCATCAACAACATCAAATACAGACAAAGATAAAAAAGTTAATCGTACACAATTAGGTACCTGTGAAAATAATCCATGAATGATGAAATTATTCGAATTAATACGTTCATCTTATCAAATACATAAAAGTTTATTAAATTCATCAGAAATGATCATTATTGTCTATGAAATCAGTTTTAAGTCTTATTTCTACACAAGATTTATTAAAAAAATTTGGAAGAGAAACACTTACTTATTTTAAATCAACATTCAATGTACACAAAAGGTAATTTCTTTTTAATAGTAAATATTTATTGTAAAGAAAATTTCAATTATTAATCTTTTTTATTCTTCGGGTTAAGCTAAAACCTTTAGGATGTTGTAATGGGTTTGAAACTTGTCTACAGATAAAACTTTAGATGAAAATCTTATAATTAAGGTTTCTGGAAGAGTCTTTCCTAGAGAAGAAAAATTTCAATATAAGAATGTCACAGTAACAGAAAAACTGATTTTTCGAATATCGACGGTCTTAACGAGAGTAATTTTGTTATGAAAGTATCAGATCTTTTGATTTGGTTCTATCTTTAAATCTGAATATTAAATCATCTAGTTTCCGTGAGCAATCTGCAAGACACGCTATCAATTCGAAATCTGAAAACCAAGTTTTCTGTTACCACAACATTCATTTAAAAATATTCTTTTAATTTAGTTTTTATTAAGTCTTGATTAACTAGCAATCGTTTCATCATCGTCTGCCGAAAGAAAATCTTCAAATGTTTCTTCACAAGTGTCATCAAATAATTCTTTAGCTAATATTCATACAATAAGTATTCAACAACCGATAATTTATTTTATTTGGTTCACGTTATGCATTAAGTATAAATAGTGATCAATCCATAGAAAATAGTGCAATGCGAGAGTAAAACAAACAAAAAAAAAACCGAATTTGATCTATTCTGTTTCTTTTTGTTTTCTATTTTAGCTTTTATTAAACTAAAAAACTAGTCTTAAAAAATATATTAATATACAAATGAAAGTGATTTTCAAGCTGCTGTACTCAATTTACTTGTTCAATTACTTTTATTTCGTGTTAATTATGGTTAATTAGAAGCTGATGAAATTCGTTGCATTTCTAATCGTTTCGTTTATTTTTAAATAGCATTTTATTTTGTTGTATTGCTGAATATCTTGTTATGTTATCACATGATACACTTCATTCAAAACAAGTTATTAAAGTACAAGATTTAATAAAACATTATGATTCATTATTAGCAAGTGGCCATGAACCTGAAACACATGGTAGAAAGCAAAAAAAACATTTTCGAGAAAAATAAATTATCGTTAAAATTCTTTATTTAGCTTTGACCGCATTAGAACCAGTTTTATATGATTTTTTTCTTGTTCGAGTTATGCGAATAATTCAAATTCCTAAAACGTTTTATTAAATGAGAGAGTGTGAGTGTGTAGATGTAATTTTTCTCTTCGATTGAACCCACACCCACACTTCAATGGATCGATGAACTGAAAATAATCATCTTATTGATGTCCAGAACTCAACAAGATTTAGAGACAGTAATCTTCAGTTATGTATTTTAGTTTGAAGGAAAACTAGGCGTCTTAATTATTATTGATACAAGTATCTTTTCATATCATGTGTATCTACTGAAAAAATAATAATAGAATTTATATTGTTATAGGCTTTATGATTGTTCATAGTTATTGTTAATAGTGTTGGAATTGAAGATGATAAATGGAACCGTCTTTCACGACAAAGTGTTGATGTACTTCTTGTTCATTTACAATCTCAGGTTATTTTTCATTTAATAGTCTCTGATTTTACGTTACTTTTTTTTTGTTCAAATAGGATCAATCACTTTTGGATATTTATTCCACACAATTAACACTATTTGATGTTGTGTTATCAATTGAATTACGATCAATTGATCCATTTGTTATTGCTTTTCGAGCATTAGTAAATAGAAATGTTCGTTGTTTTTATTTATAAAATTTTCCTGTAGTTTAAAATTTTTTTTAGAATGTCAATTGTCAATCTACAAATCGATAGTTAATCAATATAATTATAATATTTCGATGTCTTGTACAAAATTTAACTGAAGATGCTATATTAACACGATAGAATGATATTTTATCATCAGTTAATGGAACACGAGATGAAACTTTTAGTGTGTAAGTATTCGAAATGATTTTATTTATAATTTAAAAACTATTATTCGCGTTTTTGTTTTCAGAACTCTTCTTCGAATTTTACATGACGTAATATTACGAATTTTAACTAATACTCGACAATTACGTGGTCAAATCGATATGACATTAGTTTCTCTTGCATCCGATTACCTTTATGTACTTATGTATATTATGGACTAACTGAACAGATAAAAAACTAGTTTCTATCAAAGTCAAAAGAGATTAAGCTTTGATCATAATCTATATGATAGTAACATATCACCCATTAATTTGAAGATAAAACTTTCCTGCAATTCATTAATTACTAATGAGCTAGCGAAAAACATTTGACTTTAAAATTCCTATGCTTATATAAAATCTATAATTTTATTTTAGTTAAACAATTTCGAACAATTGTAAATGATTTTTGTCAATTATGAATTCATGATGAAACTGTACATCATCTTGATACATTTTTATATTTAACTATTTTAAGTGAATATTTTAAA